CTTCTCTTCTCTCGTGTATTATTTTTTGTAACGAACTACTTTTTTGGTGTATCTGGTTGATGTGGTTAGAAAGTTTTTGGTGTAACCCGTCAAAAAACAGAATATGTAACCGTAGGTTAACATGTAACATGGATTGTGTTGAATTCTTGGGTTGCTGAATTTATGGAGTAGACTTCTCTCATCACGAGTAGACTTCTCTCGTCACGAGTAGACTTCTCTCGTCACGAGTAGACTTCTTATCAAGTAGACTTCTCTAGACTCGAGTAGACTTCTTAAAGACAATAATAATACATAACTTAATGATGATTCAGAGGGACATTTCCCCCATTTATATTACATATCTTGACAACCTAGTAGACTTCTCGTGTCACGAGTAGACTTCTTATCAACTAGACTTCTCTAGACTCGAGTAGACTTCTTAAAGACAATAATAATACATAACTTAATGATGATTCAGAGGGACATTTCCCCCATTTATATTACATATCTTGACAACCTAGTAGACTTCTCGTGTCACGAGTAGACTTCTTATCAAGTAGACTTCTCTAGACTCGAGTAGACATCTTAAAGACAATAATAATACATAACTTAATGATGATTCAGAGGGACATTTCCCCCCATTTATATTACATATCTTGACAACCTAGTAGACTTCTCTTGTGTCAAGTAGACTTCTCGACTTGTTCAGATTCAATCAGCACCATCATCGAATCTCTACATATGATTTTATTGAAGTTAAACTACATAACGACTTGGCATGAGATAAAACAAAACACACTAAGTACAATGTAAATATTAACTTACACAATAGGGGTGAGTATGACCAGGTTGCTTGCACTTGGAGCAACTGTATTGCTTATGCATCTTTCTTGGTCTTGTGCCTTTCTTCCTAGACATTTCTAGCCAAGTTTGCCATCTAGATTTTTTCTTTCTTCCAGGAAGAATCTTTATGACTGGAACACCACATGGTTCCTTCTTGACATCATTTTCATCAGAAATAGGCGGGTTAATTGGATGGGAGTAGGCCGCATATAAGGATTCCCGTGAGTAAGATGGACACACAAGTGTTGACAGTTTCACGTTGGCCTCTTCTGCCGCTGCAATAACATGTGAGCAAGGGATTTTTTCAACATCATACACACCACAAGAACACTTCCTTTGTTGCAAATCAACAATACAATCTCGTGCTCCACCCTTAACAAAGAAACGCTAGCCATCAATGGGTTTTGCCTTCAAATCTCCTGCCTCATATTCTCGAATTGCCAATAGATACTCTACTCCACGGGTATGGCTCGTTGTGAGACTTAGAGCATCTTCATGCCTTTTATGATACCATCTCCCGAGCTTTGTTCTTATAAACTCTAACAGAAATGTGATGGGAAACCCTTTGGCATCCTTAACAGCCGCATTGATCGATTCTGCAATGTTGCTAGTCTTTATGTTGTACCTGTCTTCCGGGAAATGGACTCGTGACCATAACCTCGGGTCCACAGTCTCCAAATATTGAGCAAGTCTGGGGTTAACCTCTCGGATTGCGTCTATGTATCGATTATAATCGTAAGTCGTATGTGCATATGCAGCACCTTTCACCAAGTACATGAGTTGCTTCCCGTGAAACTTAGTCACAATGTTTTGCTGCAGATGATAGTAACATATACCTCGTGTTGCCCATGGTATGACATTCTTAAATGCATCAGCTATGGAGTCGTGCCGGTCAGAAACTAGGACAAGCGGATACCCATCTGAGAAACATCTACTCAATTTGGTGAAAAACCAATTCTATGAATCGTTACACTCAGAATCCACAATTCCAAAAGCCAAAGGAAATATCTGAAAGTTACCATCCTGTGCGGCTGCCACTAGCAAAACACCTCCATACTTCCCAGTTAAATGAGTCCCATCTACAACAATCACTCGCCTCAAGTACTGAAAACTAGCTATGGAAGCTCCAAATGAAATAAACAGGTACTTAAATCGATCCATCTCATCGCATACAAGGTCTGTGACACTTCCCGGACTAGCTCTCTCAATTTGACGCAAATAAGAAGGCAGCTTCTCATATCCATCTTCTGCTGTTCCTCTCACCAATTGTTGGGCATATATCAAAGCTCTATAAGATGTGGTGTAACTGAGGTTTAGACCAAACATCATCTTCATAGAATCTCTGATATGCTTTGGCACAATTCCATCGATTATGCCAACTCGTTCCACAAACAGAGCCCCAATGTACTTAAGTGTACAACGTCTACGATGAACTGACCGGTCTATCACAGAACAAGTATGATCTTTCAGATACTTTGTCACCCAGAATGTGTTTGCTTCGTTCTTCACACCCGCTCTAACCATCCAAACGCATCCTTTGACTGAATATTTTGCTACAAACAAAGACGTTGTAGACTTATATACTTTGAAAGCAAATCTCTTCATAACTGCCATCAATCGCAACTCAGATACAAGCTTCTCCTTGCTAGAAAAACTCTGATTAACAAAGATTTTAGACGACCAACTACTATCCAGTCGATCAAAACCACCACAACGCTCTCTTACACCCTCAACTTCATCCTCATCTTTAACTTTCCCGTACTCGCTGTAATCCACATCTGAGTCATCATACTTTTCTTTCATATTCTGATTAACTTCATCTTCATTCAAACTATCAGCTTTATCCTCATTTTTAACGTTTTCATCCCAATCTTTAGCGTCTTCATCCTAATCTTCTTCAGCATCAGAGCACGTATCCGCATGTCCATCCATATCATCATTCTCATGGTCCACTATCCTACTCGAAACACAAAGGCGAACACCATGCATCTTACTTAACTCAATCAAGCTCTGAACATGTCTATCATTTGTGACATACATAGGCAGAGAATCAGGAGGCATTTGTTGAAGCATCTGAGGTGGTAAGGGATAGGATAACTCCACCTTTGTTTCCTTTTCCAGCATATAATCCTCTTGCACCATCCCAAGAAGCTCAACATGTGTGCAACCATCTCTTAAGAACAACATCCGCCCTCCTTTGTTATTATCCACCTCGAACTGCCAAACTGATTCAGTCTTAACCCATTCTCCATAAACAGCGGGTATGTGAACCATTCTCTGTGAAAAAAAAAACCAAATCCAAACCACATTAGACATCAACGTTGCATAAGTATACTTTTCGGTAAGTCGAATGAAGTCTACTTAGTAGACTTCTATAGTAGACTAAGAAGTCTACTCTTAATAAGCTAAGTATCATATAAAACATGAAAACTCATTCGATTATACCTAAAATATAAACATGCAAAACTTATACATAAGCAAGAAAACTTAATAACAGAAGCTTAGGATCATGAAAATCATAAAAATTCGTTATATATTGTATATAAATGATTTTTTTTTAAAAACAAGAAAAGTAGACTTCTCGGATAAAAGTAGACTTCTCGCAGGTTAGTTTTGCAATTGCCAAAATATTAGTAGACTTCTCTATGAAAAGTAGACTTCTCGGAGAAGTCTACTTTCGTAAGTAGACTTCTCCCAGGTCATTTTTGCAATTACAAAATATTTGACTTTTTGGTCAATTGCAAAAATGACCTGCGAGAAGTCTACTTACGAAAGTAGACTTCTCCGAGAAGTCTACTTTTCATAGAGAAGTCTACTCTGAAAAGTCAAAGGTTGGTCAATTGCAAAAATGACCTGCTTCTAAAGAAGTCTACTCCATTTTTTTTGTTATCAAAGGAAATGGAGTAGACTTCATTCGGACCAAAAGAAGTCTACTTTTTCATGCGGTCAATTGCAAAACTAACCTGGGCGTTGACTAGTAGACTTCATTCGGACCGAGTGAAGTCTACTTTCTGAGCCCAGAACTGAAAAACACCAAAATTAACTGAAAATCCGACTTACAACTCGCCTTTAGCTTCTTTTCTGGTCAAGATCTTCGATCCTAGCCACAATGAAAGAAGCACAACCGCAACAAACAACCAAATCGCCGTATAGAAATTTTTATGAACTTCAACTTTTTAATAGACAAACTATAGAGTTTTTGGAAAGAAAATAGAGAGGAAATGGAAGAATAGAAGCTTAAAGGGAAAATAATGAGCTCAACAAACTCAAAAATAGGTTTTTGCCACCATTAAAGCTTCAAAATTGGTTGAAAATGGTGGTTGGGTGAATTGATGATGATAGCATTTTCGTAAATAAGTGAGGAAGATGAGGATTAGTTGGTCAATTGAATTTCTGAAAATAAATAAAATTAATTAAAAACAATGGTAATTTCGTGAATAACTGAAACTATGAGGGATTGTTTGGACACAAAATGGCAAATATTGGAAATGTGATTTTTGTGGATTAGATTTGCAATTCAAATCAAATTTTAGGTCATTTTTGCAAATATCCATGATTATATATGTAAATGTTTGTCTAATTTCCTTATTTTCTTGTAATTGGCCACTGTTTAAATGTAGTGTTTGTATATGGTCATCGTTGCATTCAAGATGATGTGTTTGATCTATTATGACATGTTTTGGTTTAGAATTAGGTTTAAATACGTTAACATCTCTAGGTTTCATATATTTTCACGTGAATGTAGTCCTATATGTTTTATTAAATTACGGCTACTGCATGTTGAATAAAAATAAAAAAAACTGTTAATCAAAACAATTTAATTTAGTCTTTATCAGCTACTTTTGTCTGAAAGTCAGACGATCGGCATTTATAATAAACTTATAAAGTCAATTATCTGAAATTTATTAAGGTTCATAAGATGGATAGGGTCACATGAACATGTTAGAAGATTCCTAACACTCACGGGCGAACGAAACAAAATATTATGGCAAAGATTCTGCTTAAACTAAACAACATTGTTAGTAGACCATCTTTGTTTTGTTAGTAGATTTAAAACTCTGCAAGATCGCAGATAAAAATGTTATAATTTTATTTTATATTATTAACAAAAATTATAAAATTTTATATTTAGCAAACTCTTCTAATGTATTATTACTTTTGTTTAATTTTGGTTCAGAAAAGGCTTTATTGGACCAAGCGAAATTACAGAAAATTCGCTTCGACCGATTGAACCAAGTTAAACCCACGAAATCACGAACCGACCACATATTCGGTTAGGGTTCTAAGACAATTACAATGTGTAGTGATTGAGGGGATTTCAGACAGTGGACTTTTTCGTTGTTAGATTTGCTATAACATACAATGTGTTCGACAAAATTCATCTGAGAGCTCCTGAGAACTCGTGAGATAAATAAATTCCCACTTATCCACCATGAAACTGAGAAGAATCCTCGGTTCTATTTCGAGTCTCGCTACAGAAAAGCTCTCTTCTTCCTCTTATTCTTCTCATTGCCCATCTCGACAAATTTTCACTGCGCGTTCATCTTCTTCGCAACGAAATGCCGGAAACAAGCTCTCAGAGGCGTTACCGGGGGATCGCATCAAATGGGCTTCGCTTGGTTCAGTCAGAAACTCGAGGTTCGCATCTGGGTTCACGCCGTTGCAGCCGAAGCCGCTGGATTCGATCATGGATTTGGAAAGAGCCAAGACTAAATCTCCGGAGGAACTCACTTCGATCTGGGACGATGTAATTTAACTCTCTGTTCCTCTCAAAATCCCGTCTTTGATGTGTTGCGTCTTTCAATTGCTTTCTTTTTTTTGTTGCTGATGATTCATTTTTCAGTATCACTTGGGACGAGGTCATATTGGGATAACGATGAAAGCTAAGCTTTATCGATTGTTGGAGCAACGAGCAACCGAGTGGTAACGACAATATCATTAGCCTTGTTCTTGTTCGAACAAAACGATGCTTGTGTGTCCGTCTTGATTTGATCTTTGTTGCAATTTGCAGCCGATACTTTGTCATTCCATTGTGGAGAGGAAATGGTTACATTACAATGTTTGCTCAAGGTTTGTGGTATAGCTTTACTCAAAAGTACTTTCTTTTACTTAGGCTCATTAGTGAGGAGAACTACTAATCTCAGGACCAGTTAATTTGTGATATGATCTGATATAAAGCTTCGATCTTGTTGTTGCAGTTGAAGCGCCTCACATGATTTTCACTGGTCTTGAAGACTACAAAGCAAGAGGCACTCAAGCGGCTCCGTACCTGACCAGCACTTTCTACACCGAGCTTTCAGAGACGAAGGACCTGGTGTTTATCCGAGGCGATGTTGTCTTCACGAGCAAACTCACCGACGAGGAGGCGAAATGGATCATGGAGACAGCTCAGTCGTTTTACTTGAACGACTCTCGGTACAAGCTGCTCGAGCGGTTCAATAAACATACTCATGACTTTGAGTTCAAGGATGTGTTACAAGCTCTGGATATGCCTGTTCTGTGATTTGCTTCATCAGGAATAAAAAACTTCCTCTGCTTTTTTTTTTTGAGTTTTCTGAAACACCATTGTATTAGAAATTGCTTTTGTATGGGGGTAATTAGACTACTTCATCACTAAACCACTTTTGGTTTGATACTTCTTTTTTAAGTCTTTACGGATCTTGTGGGAATATCAGATTCGAGGGATTTTGCTCTTAAATAAACGATATTGAGTAAAGGAGGTGTCAAATTCCTTTTCAATTCGAAATCATGATGTTCTTCAGGTGTACGGACAAATGAGTTGATTGGTTTTTTTTCCCGAAACTGAACATGAGGGGTGAATTTTGAAGAAACGATAAATTCAGGTGGCCTTTTCCCAAGTTTCACGTAAATGAAGGAAACGACATCGTTTTGTGATTGGGGCCAAAACATAAAGGCTCTTCTTCATTTGCTCTCGCTCTTCTTCTTCAAGCTAACGAAAGTCGTCAGAAACAAAAACATCCCGAAACTCTCGAGTCTCTACACTCTTCCAAAACCACCGTGTACGCTCTCTTCTTCTTCTTCATATTTCTCCCGCCTTTTTCCTATTGTGTGTACAGAGACTTGATTAAATGTATATAGCTTCTCTATTCCTCATTTCAAATATGTGTATGTACTCACCTGCTTCGGTTTTCTCGCTCTCAGCTTCCTCCTCAATCATCATCTGCAATGTCAGAGCACCAGTCCGAAGAAGTCCAGCAGATCGAGAAGCTCTACGAGTTCAGTGAGCGCCTCAATGCGTCCAAGGACAAGTCTCAGGTTTCGCCTCAATTTTCCAACTTAGGGTTTGCAAATCTAGCATTCTCTGTTTCCTCTCCGGATTATGTAATTTTAAGTTTAACAATCGTTTCTGTGTTAAAAAAATGGTTTCTTTTGCTTTGAATTCGTATTAGGGTGGTCTTAAAATGGATATCTGCTTTGTTTCTAAGCCCAGATTTATCCTCTTTCCTATCTGGGTCTTAGTTTCCTTTGTGCCAATTTTCCAGTTTTCGATCAGCTTATCTGATTTCCTTTCTCGTTTTTTTGCAGAATGTTGAGGATTATGAGGGGATTATCAAGATGTCGAAGACGAGTATGAAGGCGAAGCAGCTTGCGTCGCAGCTAATTCCACGCTACTTCAAGTTCTTCCCTAGTCTCTCCACTGAAGCTTTTGATGCGCATATGGACTGCATCGATGATGGAGATTTTGCGGTCTGTACCCTTGTCTTCTTACATATGCCATTTATCCTTAAACCAATTAATAAACTCAGATTAGTTTGCAGTGCTCTCAGGGATTAGTGCTTGCTCCAATAGGTGGTATACGTATTTTAGATGAAGCAGGGGATAGTATTTCTGATTTTTCCAGTGAATAGATGTTTATCTATGCACAATTTTCAGTTTTGTGTTCTGTGGAACTATCCTTTGGTCTGAGTAAAACATGTGTTTGCGTTTATGTATAGGTACGCGTTCAGGCCATCCGTGGGCTCCCACTGTTCTGCAAAGATACACCAGATAGTATATCCAAGATTGTTGATGTTCTTGTGCAACTTCTGAATACTGGTAGTTTTTTATGATTTTGGTTATTATACCTATTTGCGTCTTACTCATCTGACTTAAAGGTAACATGATCTGTAGAGGAAACTGTAGAGCGTGATGCTGTGCATAAGGCTCTGATGTCTTTGTTACGGCAGGACCCTAAAGGTAGTCTTATTTCTTTACAGTTGTTCTGTAGGAAGATGCGGATTCTTTAAAACCAAGAAGCTACCATTAGAAAATTGGTAAAAGTGTTTTTTTTCAATCTCATCGGAGATAATTGGTTACTCTTTAGTGTACTCGGTTGACTAGGCATAGGTTTAAGTGTATCCGTTACTTGCTAAGTGTGAGTTGTAGTGTGCTAAATTATCTTTGATCTTTACAATATGATTTCACTATTGAGTTTTGACTCATGGTGCCTGCATTCCCTGGTCTTTTCATATCTTTTCCTAATTATAACCCTCTTTGGCTGCAGCATCTTCGACTGCGTTGTTTACACATGCTGGGGTTACTCCAACCACTGATGATCAAATTCGTGAAAAGGCGTTGAATTTCATCAGAGATAAGGTCAGAGTTTATTAACATCTTTTTGCTATTTTTAAGATTCTCGGAGCAGTGTTGCATGAATTATTCTTTTGGTATTCATATCTCATTGTTTCCCACCAAGTTAGGTATAGACCAGTAAAATAGTATGGCATTGTGTATTACTACTATATCTGGGTTCAGCTTCTAAGAAAAGCTACTAAATGCTCTGCTCATCCAACTAGAGAGGGTGGTACCGGTGCTGATAGTGCATATTTAATCAAGTCTCTCCTATTTAACATTGTTTATGGTTGAGAAATGTTTACGTAAGAATAACGACAGGAAATGATATGAAAAAATGTGATTGTGCTGTACATATATGTCAGCAAAAATAATGTAATAAAACGTAAAGTGTTCAGCTAGCTATGACGAGTTTGATAGTATCAGAAATGAAAATCCTTGGAGAGGTTTGGAATACCTTGGCCTATAATTTTCTTATTAATCTATATGTAGGTGTTTCCTATTAAAGGGGAACTCTTGAAGCCTCAAGAGGAAATGGAAAGACATATAACAGATCTAATTAAACAGGTAAGAACCATAATCTTCTGTGTGTGTAGTTCTTTTTATTTCTTCCATCTGCCTTCTTCTTCTCTGCCATTTATATTGACTTTATTTGGATTTTCCCAGAGCCTAGAAGATGTGACTGGAGGAGAATTTAAAATGTTTATGGATTTCCTGACAAGTTTGAGTATATTTGGAGGAAAAGCTCCTCCAGAAAGAATGCAAGAACTTGTGGAAATTATTGAAGGACAGGCGGATTTGAATTCACAATTTGATGTAAGCTTGTTGTATTGCATCTACAGTTTTATTAAAGTTTGTTGTGTTGCATCATTTTGAAGATGAACTTAAATTTCTTGATTTCATAAAACGATATCCCCTGTGATGTACTCTATTTCTGAGTGCAAATATTGTTTTCCCAGGTATCAGATACAGACCATATTGACAGGTTGATATCATGCCTGCAATTGGCTCTTCCCTTTTTTGCGGTACGAACTAGGATTTGGTGTTGCTAGTAGCTTTGATTGAGTCCATACTATGAACTTTGCTGGTTATTTTGCTAATTTCGTCTTCTTTCGATCAGAGAGGCGCTCCAAGCAGCAAGTTTCTCAACTATTTGAACAAACATATCATACCTGTTTTTGACGAGGTATCCTAGAATTTCTTTGCCCAGTTCTTCAATATTTGTGTTTCGGTGTATTTGTATCAGCCCATGATCCCTGTGTGCTCTGTTTTAGGCTTTTTTTATATACTCTCTTAGAAAAGTTAAGAATAGTTTATAGCACTAAGGGTATCAAGTAAGATCTCAAAATTTTTTACGTTTGTATTTCATCCATATGCGTAGGTATTGCTGCTTGTTTCTCTTTTCCCTTCTTGCATGCAAAATCCGTAGCACTCCATATAACTATAAGGAGCTTTCTTGGCCAGCAAAATATATGACAAATTCTTTTTTTCTTAACTAGCTCCCAGAAGAGAGGAAGCTTGATTTGCTCAAAGCTCTTGCTGATATTTCTCCATACACAACCGCTCAGGAGGCAAGGCAGATGCTTCCTTCCATAGTTCAGCTTTTAAAGGTACCGCTTTAAGTGCCATTATTCATCTGCCGACAGATATCAGTGTGTCATGATTTCTTTGATTAATCGTTTGTGGACATGTTACTTATATTTGTAATGTCATTAATGTAAATCCTATTGCAGTTTCGCACTTTGAATGTAAAAAGCATTATATGCAGTAGTAAATTTGTCTTATAAAGACTGTTACACTCTTTGTTTGTAGAAATACATGCCTGCCAGGAAGACTGGAGAGGAAATGAACTTTACATACGTGGAGTGTTTGTTGTATGTGTTGCATCACCTAGCCCACAAGGTTGCCAACAATCTTATTTGTGATTAATCCCGTTCCTTTTTTTTTCTTTCTTGGTTTGCTTAATTGAATATGTTGAACATATATAGGTTCCAAATGCAACAAACAGCTTGTGTGGGTATAAGATTGTGACTGGCCAGCCATCAGACAGGCTGGGGGAGGACTTCTCGGAGTTGAACAAGGACTTCACTGAGAGGTACTGTTATTTCATTGATATAACATTTAGATTTGTGCGATTTGAAACTTCAAGATACTGTCGTTAAAAATTGTTGTACATGGTGGTTAGTAGAATCTTATTTTCTGGGAGAAAATGTTGTGCTAACTACACCTGGTAGATAAAATTATCTAAGCATGATGACAGACTAGAGTTGTTAAAGTTGGTAATCTAGATTAAGAAGAGGTACGAAGAGTTATATATATTCTGTGATGATATCATAAAAGTTTTTGATTTTGTGATGTACCAACCTTTGGTGCAGATTGACCACCGTTGAAGATCTAACCAAGGCAACAATGAAGAAATTAACTCAGGGAATGTCTGAGCACAGCAAAGCGATGTCGGCTGCTAAGACAGATGAAGAGAAGGCAAGCGTTGTGAGTACATAATCTGTAACTTCTTTTGTTTTTTCCGGAAGCTATTGAGAATAGACTTACAGATCTAATGTATTGCATTTTTGTGATGCTTTTTTTTTTTCCAGAAAACAAAGAAGCAGAATACTACAACTGGACTTAGGACGTGTAATAACATATTGGCGATGACAAAGGTGAACATTTTAACATCTTGTCTTTTTCTTTTTGGTGGAAGCATATAGATTTTGATGACATAAATTAAGCTTGGTGGCAAATTTTGATATGAAACAGCCATTGCATGCAAAAGCGCCTTCGTTTATCGGAGATACTAATATCAACCTTTCTTGGAAAGAAGCAACAAAGCCGCTAGCCTCAGCAACAACAACAACAACAATCGGGTTTGTTGCAAAGTTTACTCAATGTGAAATCTTTCTGTTGTCTTAGATCTGTTTGTAATTTGTGCTGTCTTTTGCTGTGATACTACTATACAGAGGAAAACGGCCTGCTAATAACAACAATGGAAGTGGTAACAATGTTGCAGCAAAGAGGGGACGTGGTTCGGGGGGTGTGCAAAGCCAGCTTGTGAACAAGGCTTTTGAGGGAATATCACCGTACGGTGGTGGTGGTAGAGGTGGAAACCGAAGTTGGGGAAGACGCGGAGGTGGTCGAGGAAGAGGACAAGGAAGAGGTCACTGGTAATGATAAGCTTCCATGACTGTTTCTGTTTTTTTTTTCCTCTTTCTGTATTTTTTCTTTGCCAGTAGGAGTTTTGATTTGGTACTTGCTAGAATTTGTGGACTTTTCATAATTCATATCAGAACAATCGTATGTGTCTTTCTTTATGGAGAATGTTGATTCAAGCATTAATGACCTTAGTTACATTACAATCTTGAGTCCTCAGCTACATAAGATAAGAATGAGAGGCCCTTTGCATGTCTCCTTCATCCAAGATTACTTCCATGGCACGTTAGTTTTCTCTATTTGTAGCTTTCATCTATGAATTCAGTTAGCAACGGCTCATTTTACCTTTTGGAATGTGTTTCTGCGACTTTTTTTTTTCTTTGTTTAAAGGTAAAATGATTTGCTGCAACTTATACTATTTACAGAGAGGGCTGTTAGTTAAAAACTTGAAATTACAAAAGATTTCTTTAGAAAATATTTTACTATCTTTTTGGTTGTCTAATTGACTAAAAAATTCCTTTTAGCACGTTCTTCACACCATTCACTACAAATGAAAAATAGTAACTTAATAAATGGTTAAAAGTTCAAACCTAAAACGATTTATCAAAAGTCATTAGTCATTAAAAATCTATATTTATATGACTTACCTACCGCACTTATACTATTGAGGTATTAAATATTCCTCAGGAGTCTTCCTCGTATAAACAATTAACCTGAAAGAGTCTTTGTTTATCCTCTACTTGTAAGAGATCTTGTCCGATATGTGGAATTTCTTGTCCTTGCATACTACATATAGATAAAAAGCATCCAATCCAATTCCCCATTACATCTCCGAGTCTATCTCCATGGCAGGTCTTAGTACTCTCTTCTTCTCATTTCTTTCTCTAGCTCTGACAAAAACTAGTGTGAGCTCTCGTGTCATAAGTCCTATCCCTCTGAATAACTCGATCCTGATCTCTGACGGCGTCCATGAAGCCTCGGATTACAAGTTTCTCACTCTTGATCCTCCAAAGAACTTGTCAGGGACCGCGTGTGTTCATGTCTACGGGTTTCTTCCATGTGCAAACAATGTTGGAGGTTATGTCTTCCAAGTTTTCTCCTTTGGGGGTCTCTTGATCATTGGTGACTATTTCTTGTCTGAAGGAAGGTCGAAGCTCTTTTTAATCTTTGAAGTAGGTTTCTATGGCGGAATCGTCTTCCCTCTTCTCACAATGTTCCCAAGAATCGCCCTTATGCTCTGTAAGGATCCTCTGGCTTTTTGGCTCACAACTAAGAAATCACATGAAAACATTACTTATATTGGACATTAAAACGTTTTCTTTTCATTTTGTTGTGTTTTTGATCTCAGCGACTGGACTATCATTGAGCAGCGATGTTGCTAACTTCTTCATAGGTGATAACGTTGGAGTTACTGTGGGATACACTGTGTTTGCTCTCACAATTCAATAGGGAGCTTGTGTTGTGTTTGGCATCACTGGTCCGAGTTTGGACCAGTCAGTTAGAAGAACAACCACTGTAAGATTTTCCTTTAGTTTCTTTTCTTCTAGTCTGGAATCAAAATAGTTTTATTACATTTTTTATTCTGTACTAAAATAGATTGACAAAAATATGGTCATTCTCACAAATTCTTTCTATTTATAATTCATTACTATCAAAGAATGTGAATTGACAATTCAACTTATACAGGATGGAAGGAGCCAAAGACAAAAGATAGTGAAAAGCATTGTTGGTAAGCTCAGTTTCTTGCAAACTACAGATTCTTTTTCTTTTCTTTGAGCATTTTTTAGGGTATGAAGATTTTGTGGTTTAATTTTCTCTCTGCAGAAGCAAGCGTAGACGTGGATCCCAAGAACAAGAAAGCCGCAGGGATTATGTTGTTGAGTCTAGCTCCTTTTCTCATGGTGACACTGTCGGCTATATTTGATTCACATTCTTGGAGACACATCATTATGTTGATCACACTAATAATCTCTTCTTCTTCAACCGTTGTCTACTTTGTTTACTCGGTATGAGTCCCTTTGAAAAACCACAAGTAAACCCTTTTGGTTTCGTTTTTTTTTTCTTGCTACACCGATGAGTGTTTTCTTTTGTGTGTGTGTGGAAACTCGCAGTATTTTGATCGAACTAACCAAGAGAAGAGCTTAGATCACGCGAGGTTTCAGCTCATGTCAGAAGTTCATAAGCACTTACAAAGGTTTTCACCAAATAACCTAATTAAAGGTGGAGAGCTAAGCAAAGAGAGCTTGAAAAGGTTGTTATAATTACTTCTTTGAAGCAATAATTGTTTCATTTTCGGCTATCTTACACCGTAAATCATTGCTATAATTTTGGTAGTTTATTTGAGAAAACTGATACGAACAAAGATGGGAAGATACAAATATCTGAGCTAAAAGACTTAACGATAGAGTTTTGGAACTTTGGGAGAATGAAATGTGACATAGATGAGCTTGCTAAAGCCTTTCTTAAGGATTTCGATGGAGACAAAGACGGTGAACTAGAAGAGAAGGAATTCGAAGAAGGGATCGCGAGATTGCTTAAACAATACAAATTCAACTTCGATAGCGAAGAGGATCAAAGAGAGAATCAAAATGTAAGCATATATCACATCACACACCTCATTTCTAAACGGCACTCGTTACGAAATCAACTCATGATGTGTTGCAGGAGGAGGAGGATGGAGTTCTAAAGCTGGAAGTACCGAAGCAAACGCTTGTTACTAAACTGCTCTCTATGGAAACGTTAGGAGCTGCGACTGAAGTCATCGCAGGGATCCTAATAGTCCTCTTTCTTGCAAAGCCATTTATGATGAACATCGAGCTCTTATCGCTCTCAGCTGGAATTCCCTCTTTCTACATCGTTTTCGCGATGATCACTCTGGCTAGAAACTTGAAGAACACTCTATCTGCACGCTTCTGCCGTGGCAAAGACAAGAAAATAATCTCATCCGACACCTTCTCCGAGGTTAGTTTTAAGTTTTAACTATCACCATTCATTGCTTGAGTAACACGTTACACGATGTGATGTAGACCTACAAGCGAGAAGATAACTCAAAGTTTAAGGGAATTTTTTTATTGGTTTCCACAGATCTACAAAGATGTTACAATGAACAACCTCATGGGAATGTCGATCATATTAGCGATTGTGTACGCGAGAGGCTTGACATGGAATCACTCGATAGAAGCTCTTATTCTCGTGATCGTTGGTCTTGCAATAGGCTTACCGGCTTACGTGAGGTCGACTTATCCGTTCTGGATCTGTGTATTGGCATTTGCTATGTATATCTTCTCTCTTGTCCTTATCTATCTCCGTTTTCATTTTCTAGACAAAAACTAAGTTCACACCACCTTCGGTGAGAACTAGAGTTATTTAACCTCCTATCAAAGATCATTTCCTTGGTAATTTTTTTTTTTTGTAACTTTCTCACATCTCAGTTGTTCAATTTGGTTGTTCTGTACGTTTGAAATAATGCAGTATTCTTTGTCTCCAATATGGCAATATCTCATTAGAAACATCATTGTTTTCCTCAGTCCATATGAACAACAATATACTGGAAAAAGTGACCATATAATAAACACAAAAATTAATCTAATGGCCATATATTTCATAATTTCTTATGGCCATGTACATGTAATTCCAAAGAATTAATTAAAATTCTCAAATGTTGGGTTGATGGTAGGATATATATTAATATTTACTAGTAATATATATGTACCACTGCAAGTCTGCAACATATGACAAAATCATAATTGAAATATCAAATAAATTTGTAAAACAGAGTTCACATTACATTGGGTCTTAGCCTTGGGTCACATTGTTATTTCCTTTCTACGAAAAACATATAAAATGATACTATTATTTTGTATTTACCATTATAAACCCTAAACCAAAAATTGAAAACTTAAATCTGTATAAATTAAACTCTATATAAGTTCAAAAAAGCTATTTTTTAATATTGAAAGATTTTTTTTTTAAATGTAGTTGTCTTCTTTATTATTCAAATATTATATTGATTGTTTTGAGAACACGTATAGTTTGAGAATATTGAAATTTCACTCCGAAGATTTAACCTTATTGTCCCATACTACTGACCGTCCCCTGCAAACATTTAAATATCGTTATCATATATGTAAGTTGATCTGGCAGCAGTATCTTACTGTATATTCTTTTGAATTTTTTTATGTATCTTAGTATCTTTTATAAAAAAAAAAATCAAAATTCTAATGTAATCTAACAACAACTTGGACACTAAGCTTACATGAGTCCAATTATATCAGAATTTGAATGAAGTGCACAATAGTATTTAAATTTAGGCTCGATGAAGTCAAATTAGTTCAGCTCCGAACATCGTAATTACCAACACAAATGATAAAATATGTGGAAGAGAGAGCATTAAACAGCTAATCCTCGTGTATAACAACAACTGTTCATGCTCCACGTATAGATCTTGTCCATATTCAAATAACTCATCAGCCATAAACTAGGTGAGTTGCGAGGTAACATATAATATTAAAAGATGTTCAATAATGTCAGAAACTGCACAATTTTGATTTCATCTAGTTTTGGAAATGGCTAATCAGATTTCTTGATCTAAGCCTAAAAAAATATGGGATAGATCAGAAGAAATAAAGAATTGTGAAGATAAAACTCCTTGGATCCTTCCTTGTTGAAGCGAGCAGAGGAAGCTTGAAGATTCAAATTCAAGGACAAAAAATAAAGATTTAAACTCACGTGCCATTGGCCATTGGTGCATGGAAAAGGTGAACCACGTGCATGGAGAAATGTGAGCTTACAAACTTATGACTAAAATTTCTTAAAATAACCGAGAGATTCTTATCTAGTCCAATTGGGTTAAATATAAAAATATTAAAAGGTTACATTTGCAGATCTCAACTATATAAGCAACAAAACTTTAGTAAGAATAGTTACCATTTCCGAAATTGTTCTTGTTGTTCACTTCTCTTCTTTTCAACATCAGTCACTTAATAAAACCCAAAGTATAAAACTTCCACATTTTTAGTTATATCATCAGCTCATATGCAAACATTCTCATTCAAGAGGAGATTCATCCATCCACATTTCCCATTACCACTCTTCTTCTTTTTTCTCTCTCTAGCTCTGATCATCTCTGGTGTGAGCTCTCGTGTCCTGAGCCCTGTCCCTCTGAATAACTCGATCTTGATATCTGATGGCGTCCATGATGCCTTGGATTACAAGTTTCTCACTCTCGATCCTCCAAATAACGTCTCCAAGGCAGCTTGCCTTCATGTCTACGGCTTTCTTCCATGTGCAGACAATATTGGAGGTTATATCTTCCAAATTTTCTCCTTTGGGTGTCTATTGATCATCGGCGACTATTTCTTGTCTGAAGGAAGATCAAAACTCTTTGTAATCTTCGAGGTCGGTTTCTATGGCGGTATCGTCTTCCCTCTTCTTACAATGTTCCCAAGAATTGCTCTTATGCTCTGTAAGGATCCTCTCTTCTTTGGTTCCCACTAAGAATTCATATTATATTACTGATTACTTCATCTACTACCAATTGGTTTTGAGTCAAAAGCCTATAAATCTTAACATAATTTTTGATTTTTAATCTTAGCGCCGGGACTATCAGCGACTCACGCTGGTGCTCTCTTGATTGTGAGTAACAATGTTGGAGTTACTGTAGGACACACAGTTTTTGCTCTGACAATGCAATGGGGAGCTTGTGTTGTCTTCGGCTTGACTGGTCCTAATTCAGACCAGTCAGTCCGAAGAGGATCCATCAACAGAACAACCTCTGTAAGCTCAGAATCTTTTGTTTAAATCTTTTAGTATAAGATTAATAACCAGTTCTCATTTAATGAATATGATCTGTATGTATACATATATATATAGGATACGAAGAATCCAAGAAGGGGATTTTACAGGATGAAGATACTTAAAAGTGTTGTTGGTATGTTTAAGAAAACTGCAGATTCCTTCTCTTCTCTTTTTAAGTCTATTTTGATTTTGCGGTTTTCTCTCTCTCTTTGTCTCTGCAGAAGCAAGCGTAGATGCGGATCCTAAGAACAAGAAAGCTGCAGGGATTATGCTTCTGACTCTAGCTCCATTTCTTTTGGTTACATTGCCTGATTTACTTGATGCTCAATCTTGGAGTGATATCACTATGTTGATCGCACTCATAATCTCCTGTTCTTCAACCATTATCTACTTTGTTTACTCGGTATGAGCTCTCTTTAAACTAAAGTTCTGTTCGTACAACTGATTTTCTCTGTTCTCTTACCGGTCAAATCTTGTTTTTGTGGAAAACTCGCAGTATTTTGATACGGCAGACCAAAAGAAGAGCTTAGATCACGCCAAGTTTGAGCTCATGTCGGAAGTTCATAAGCATTTGCAGAGCTTTTCGCCTCGAAGCCTTATTAGAGACGGACAACTAAGTAAAGAGAGCTTGAAAAGGTTTTATATATTTTGTTTTGTTCTAATCAAGAACTACTTCATTTTGTTCTTTTTTCTGCTTTCTTACATTGTAAATTATTGTTCTTGTGTAGTTTGTTTGATAGAATCGATAGGAACAAAGATGGAAAGATTCAAATCTCGGAGCTGAAAGACTTAACCGTAGAGTTTGGAGTTTTTGGAAGAATGAAGTGTGACATCAATGAGTTTGCAAACACTTTGCTTGCGGATTTCGACAAAGACAAAGATGGCGAATTAGACGAGGACGAGTTCGAAGAAGGGATCATGAAACTACTGAACCAATACAAGTTCGATAACCAAGAAACTCCAAGACATAACAACACATACATTTACAGAACAACATCCGATTCTGTGCATGTCAAGAATCAGTCGCCGGGCGAGGAAGCTGGAGTCTTAAAGCTGGAAATGCCAAAGCAAACCCTTGTTGCTAAGTTGCTCTCTATGAGAACATTAAGAGCTGTGACTAAAGTCGTTGGTGGGATGCTAATGGTCCTGTTTCTAGCTAAACCATTCATGATAAACATCGGACTCTTATCTGTTTCTGCAGGAGTTCCTTCTTTCTACTCCGTATTTGCAGTGATCCCTTTGGTTAGAAACTTGAAGAACACTCTATCTGCACATTTCTGTCGAAAGAAAGACAAAGCAAGAATCGCGTCTGAGAAATTCTCTGAGGTTAGTTAGTATACTTCTTTACCACGCTTCTTTTTGCCACATTAACATTGATGAGAGGCTTAGAAAGTTAAGACCTTTTTTTCCTTTTATGTGGGTTTCTGCAGATCTACAGGGATGTTACAATGAACAACCTCATGGGAATGTCAATCATTTTGGCGATTATATACACGAGAGGATTGAAATGGGATTACTCAACAGAAGCTCTTCTTGTTGTGGTTGTTGGTCTTGCTATTGGCTTACCGGCTTACGTGAGATCGACTTATCCGTTCTGGATCTGTGTATTGGCCTTTGCTATGTACATCTCCTCTCTTGTCCTTATTTATCTCCATTTTCATCTTCGGGGACAAAACTAAAGCTTTCACCTTTTAGCTCTGATCAGACTGAGTAATGTATTTGTCAATGTCAAAGTGCTTTTCCATTTCCATATTTTTGATCAGAGCTTAATAAAGGCCATGATGTTCTCTTTGATTAATCTATTTATGGTTCATATGATAAGCACTTGAAGAGGATTTTTCACTTATATAAGAGATAGATAGCAAAACCTAGATTTAAAGAAACAATTGGCTTCGTATATTATCACTCTCTATACTATTGTTAGCAACAACAGTATTTTAATTTAAGAACTCGAATAAAAGGTTTTTACCAAGACTTTTCAGTGTTACAAGAAAACCTTCTGGTTAATAAGTCTTTGATTTTTCTTCTGCATATCGATATATCACAGATTAATCGAGTTGCTTGCAGGGAAGTTAATTAATACATCCAAAGTTACTTAAAGACAATGATAATTTAATGATATTTTTTTTTCTTGCTAAAAAATTTCTATAACTTAAGGCTGAGATCGATTCCAAGATCAGCGGCTGATTCATATCGGTCACATGCTCGTTGTTCTCGGTCACCATTGCTCCGATCATCAGAGGGCATGAAGCTATAGAAAGGCTTTTTACTTTGTTGGTGTTGTTCATTCTAAAACCAAGATGATTTGATGAAACAGAGTAAGCAACTTCATCAAACTTAAGACAATTATAGCAGCAACGAAAAGTGATAAGAACAAGATCTCTATTTTACCTGTAAGGGGATAAACCTCGGGTGATCATGTCGAATGGACGTAGGTGAATCAATGGCGATAGGGTTGCAAATTGTTGTACCGGAATCTTGAACCGGAGTTATCAATCTCATATCCAGCGACCGGTTCTGTTTCGCTTCCCTTTAACAATTTTTTCAAATAACAACACACCAAGATTAGGTTTGTTTTGGTACATCAAGAAAAGGAGTGAAGTCAAGAAACAAACCAAAACCTTGAGATTGTTATGGCTGGTCCAACGCTCTCTCTCGTGGTGGTGTCTGTGAGAAAATGCCATGGCCTCTTCGCACTGACCATCTATGGAAAATCAAAAACAATTAGATAACGTAACGTTTTTAATTCTAAATTATGGAATTTAGTTAATTAAACATGCCTTTTTTTCTTCCTCCGGAAATGGAGAGAAATTATCGACGCAAGATCTTTGGTTTGAAGGTTGCTCTATGAATTGGTAAAATCCTCCTGGTCCTGGAGATGGATTCGGGAGATTCATCTGCAGAATCATGAAATTAAAAAGATTTTTAAAAAAATAAGTTTTAATTTTTGTGTGTCATTACATAATATTCCAAGAAAGAAATTAATCATTTTCTCTCTCTGTGATTTACCGTCGTCGGGTGATGTAGAGAATGCTGCTTCCTCTGAAAAACCGGCGCCGGAGGAATCAAGTCCTTAGGGAAAGATCCGTTGGAGAAATAAGACGACAACGGCAAAGCAAAGTCTGGAGGCATCATTACATAATCACATCCGCCGGTAACACTCACCGTCGCCGGTGGCCGGAAAATGGGATTAGCGGTGTAAAAGGAAGTCTTTTCCGGCGGAGGATGAGCAAAGAGAGTGTGATCGATTTTTGGTAACGAAGAAGAAGAAGAAGAAGAATGTGGAATTGGAAGAGACGGAGATTTGTTCTCTTGTTCTAGTTCTAGACGGATCTTCTCTAGCTCAGCGACACCTGGTCCTCTTCGTCGGACTCTGTCTTTCTTTTGTTTTTTCGGACAAGAACCAAAGTACTCATCTTGTAAGTCTCCTCCATAGCTTCCACTGCTTGTGTTACTACACATTTTGCTCTGGTTTCGTTGAGATTTTCTCTGTTTTTTTTTTTCCTTCTCTAATTACTGAAAACAAAATAATGGGGAAAAGAGAAAATAAAAGTGATTCAAACGGGGAGAGATTGAAGGGAAAATAAATCTGAGATGAAATCGGCTCTTCTTGCGTAAGTGAGAAAAATCGTGGGAATTTAAAGAAAATTCAAAGGCTCCATGTTTTTAGCTTTCTTAAGATCTCTTTCTCTCTCTTTCGAATGAACTATCTGGAGATAGAGAATCTACATCGGTTTCCGTGATTTTCTCTCGGAAAAATATTGTGATTCTCCTCCACCTGCAAAAATTTAATATTTTTAAGTTTCGTTTTCATGCAAAAGTACAAAATTACCTGATAACCCCTAATTTATCAATGTTTGACAGATTTATCTTTTTATTTCTCAGTTGCAACAATATTAGGAAATGAAAGTTTTCTTCTGTCTTTTTTTTTTGGGTCAAAGTCTTCTCTGTTTATTTTGTTGACATAAATGAAAAAATAAGCTTAAAATTGACGTCTTTTTATTATATGTAAAATTGAACCACCTACGTTGTTCATAAAAATGTAATTTGTAAATATCTTATTCCATGTTTGTCTGATTATTTGACCAAATTATGGCCTTTTAGGAAAACTGATTCGTCTATGTTTTGGTAATTTATATTAAGAGTAGGGGCCTTATGAATATTTTGTAAGTACAAAAAGATTTTTTTCTAATTCAAGAAGCTGGCGAGAATCAGAGAACGTTAATGATGAATCGGAAAATTTGGGGGATATTCATTATTTTGGAAATTTAAACCTATATGGACCATATGGTCCCATAAACAAAAGCAGGACATACTATAAAAACCCAGTTGTGAAATATTATTATTCAATAGAAGTTTCTTGTCTTTTACTCTTTATTTCTGTTAGTATCCTTATGATAATTTTAGATGTTGGGAACTTTCTTTTCAAACAATGCATTATGCAACATGTTATATCATTAAGAGTTTTTTTTTCTGTTTGGTTTTAATGTTAAATGTTCTATCATATAGTTACATAGTATAGTTAGTTTTGTAAATGAGATTCTCACTAGGGCACATGGTCAGCAAAACTATTAGTTTAACTTCTTTATGTTAAGTTCCACCTTTCTCAGTTGTATTTGAATAAGTAAACATTACAATAATGATGCATCATCATGCATATCCTTGCGTCATCTGTTGTATCAAATTATTTATAAATTGACCTCCTACTTGTAAATGGCTTATACCCTACGATCCAACCTAAATCACGTGCTCAATATTTTCAGAATCTACAAGTTAATTAAAGTATACTATATTGACACTGATTTTGTGATTCCGGTTGATTAAATTATTATATAGAACAATACACTGTTCTCCTTATGTTTTGAAAGACAGCTTACGAACGCTGTGCTACAAAAATGATTGAGTTTGATAATCCCAAAATAAATTAATTGAGTAACAAATCATCTGAAAATTTAGGTGTTGTTTCGCACGATGGGAGATCAAAAACGGTAATTGGGATTGGACTTTACGTAAGATCCCTTGGGAAATGATTACATGAAAATGTGTAATTTTTGTGCCGATGGCTACATCAGCTGCAGCATCAGCAGATCCGTGTTTATGATCTTATTCTACAACCACAAGCCCATAATCTCTCCAAAATTATTTTAAGATAAAATACTTAAAATCATAACATTTTTTTGCGTATTTCAACAAAAATAATTTTTTTTATTGAATATCGGAACATAAATACTGTCGTATATGATGATAATATACATAATAATAAATCTCTTATAAACATTTAAACGTCTTATTGTCAGAAAACAAACCATTGAAATGTATTTCATAAGATTTTAGAATCTTTTAACAATGTTGATTACTCAGAAAAATAAACATTCTCATTTTGGATGTATTTATAAGTGTTATGTCATAAGCCAATGAGGTTTGAACACATGATAGACAAGCTCTTTTATTAAGTTAAAAAAGAAGAGAAATAAAGTACAGTAAAAATTCTATAAATTAATATTCGATAAATTAATAAATTCGATAAATCAATAATTTTGCTTAGTCCCGAATTAGATCGGTTCAAAATTTAATATAAATCGATAAATTACTAAAATAATAATTGTTTTTGAAAAATTATGTAAAATATAGTCCCATTAATATCATAAATTAATAAATATCATAAGAAATAAATTTATATAAATATATAATTATGATAATCTTTTAAAATATGATTATATTATTATTTTTCATATTAAAATTGAAATATATTTATCAATTATCTTTAATTTTAGAATGAAAATTTTGGTAAATATTATAAATTTTAAAGAAAAAATGATTTTTAATTAATTATTAATAAATAATTTATTTTATTCAAAATCGATAAATTAATAATTCTATAAATTAATAAAATATCAAAGTCTCAACATTATTAATTTATAGAGTTTCTACTGTATATACAAAGTTTGAAAAATTAAATTATATGTAAAGTTCTAAGACTTTCAGATTTAAAAGGTTTTAGAAAAAAAAAACAAGAACAAAAAGGGTAAAAACAAGCAACAGCAAAGAGGTTGAATTCTAAAAGAATAAACTTATCTAGGAAATTAAAACCTGACGGACTTACATTCTAGTGTGATGACAATAAGAAAATAAGTGAAATAAATACCATCCCAAGAATTAAATATTGTATACTTCGTAAGCCATATATTGTAATCAGTTAATTCATTTACATAAACGAAAACTTAAATAATACAACCAATCAACCCCTTAATAACTTAACAGAAGTGATTTGAGCTTTAATTGAGTAAAATCAAAGACGCATTTTAATTTCGATATGGAGAACAAGGCTAAAAAGAGCTAGCAACTATAAGGTAAACATAGCTTAAAGTGAATGTGAGGAATATGTAACGAGTTTGCAACCTTAAGAGGAACCGTAAAGCACCAAGAACTTCATTAATTCTTATACCACTTGACACCTTCTGATTCACAAGGAGTATATGCTTTTTTCTTGACGTTAAAGAGATAAGAGAGAGTAGTCTTTAAGCCACCTATAATCAACAATAATGTATAGTTGCATATATTTTTGAAGATTTGACTATATGTTATAATATAGGTATAAGGTAACGATCATCGCACTTTTTGACGTAAGAGTATATATATAGATGATATTGCTGCATAAAGCATATATATAATTAAAGGCCAAAATTGTTTATTAACAAACTTGATTGATAACCAAAAGTGACCATATGTATATATAAGTTTGAGAAGAGAACTTGTGTGTTCTAAGATTAACATTGTTCCTCCTCAAAGTCGTCTTAATAAAAAAAGAAAATCATTTGTAAAGAAACCTTTTATTTGGCTTTGGTGTATTCAACATAAAACCAATTAAAAAAAAAACTAAATAATGTGTTATAATCTTCCATCTCTGAGATAGTTATGGCTCATCTATATACACCGAACGGAAAAATGAGCCATAACTTCTCGATCTAAAATAAATCTATATGATTTGTACATTTCAGATCAATCAGAAATATTACAACTAGCAAAAAGAAAAATTATATAAATTGAAATATATAACCATCAACTATACTATATTATTGTCTAATACCTTATCCCCAGTGCTAGCCATCGGCTCAGCTATTCTACGGCACACAGGACAAGTTGTGTGCGATTCAAGCCACCTACCGATACATTCTTCATCAAACATGTGCATACAGTTTGGTAACACCTTAATCACGACATTCTTGGGGATTAACCCTAAGCAAACCGGACACTCTATCTCCTGATTGTTGCTCTCGGGATCGTTAACATCCTGTTTGTAAGAAAAGGTCGGAAAGGCGGCAATCACGGAAGCGCTAAGCCCTTGGCACGGTGGCTCTCTCCTGTGGTGGTGGCCGTCCTCGGTTTCCGATGAAACGTCAACAAACCTACGGCGTTTGAGCAAGCAAATAACGAAAAGAGTAGATATAACGGAGATTGTCAAGAGAGACGTTAGGGCGGCGAACCAAAGGATGATTGTGTTTAACGAAGGGTCGTTGAAACCCATGTCTCTTTGATCTATACAACACCAAAATTAATCCTCAAAAGTTATTAATCAAGCAAAATCTAATAGCACATATACGGCCTTTATATATATAGTTCATTCATTGAGAGTTGACATTCTCTTTGAATATATTTGGATTAAGAGTTGAAAGACGATCACCACTAATGAACTTGAAAACATTATCATATTATCAGTTGAATTGAAGAACATGGTTGATTTGAATTGGTACACGGTACACCACAAATGGGATTATTTTATTACTTCATTTGCTGCTTGTGAGAATCTGTGATTTTTATATATATAAAATAAATTATAAAACATTAGAAGTTGTAGAGATTAAAAGGCTAAATGGATAAGGATACGTACAAAGTCATGCTTGATTGGATTAACTATTTAGATGTCCGAAAAGACATAAAGATTAAAGAAAATCAATAATAGCTGCAAAATATTATTATAGGGACCCAAATACGAGTGTATATATATAAATAATGGTTGTGTGGATTTTTCATTCTTAAAGATATATCTGCATATCCAAAAATATGTTGCAGTAGCGAAATATTTTTAGCTAATGGTGTTTTTAGAGAACTCATTTATATTTTGTTGGGAAGTTGTACAAGACTACAAGAATAGTTGAAAGAAACAAGTTACTATGTAACGCTCCTACTAGAGTACTGTGACACATTTTGAGACTATTGAGAATAACTAAGATTTTGTCCAAGAAATTAGGTGGTATAACTATATAAATATCATAAATTCATCAAATAATCATAATAGATATATGTTATGATATTCTCTATATATTTTACAATATATACAAAAATATCATTTATTTTTTATCTTTTTCTCCTCCTTTTTCTCATCGCTCTAATCTTTTTTCTGTCTTTCCTTTCCACTTTCGCTTCTCTTTCCCCCTCTTCTTCCCCTCTCCTCCCCTCCCCTCTTCTCATCTCCTTTTCTTTCTGTCTTCTTCTCTCTTTTTTTCTTTACAATCAATTTTTTTTTATTAATACTATATCAAAACGAAAACTATTCTATAAAATTAATATGTAGTATAGTACGATATATAATATAGTACAAGGTTATATTTGACAATTGATTGTGAGATATAATTAGTTTATCAATTATTCAAATATCATAGCTATATTTTTGTATTTTTTGTTATTATGGTTATATAGTAAAATAACTCAAAAAATTAAAAAAACAAAAGAGACAAGATTAAAATTTATGGGCCTTAATCGACAAAAAAACATTATAGGCCTTATAGCATAGAACATTAACGGACTTCATATTCGTCCAAACGGGCTGCTATGGGCCGAGTAAAAAAGCCTGTTTCAATGACCTCCTATTCAAACCATCTTTTCAATTCATTGTTTGATTAATTTATCCATACTATTAATTAATGATCACTTTAATGTTTAAATACATTTCATGTATTATATTACATGAAATGTCATTGCATTTTAATATTTTTTTAAAAATTCTATTAATGATAGTTTAGTCATTTGTTAATTCAACTAACTATTATTCATTTTCTTTTTTCTTTATTTAATTCTTATATTCCTATTACCAAACACATTAATTTTCAAATATTCTTTAGATTAGTTTAACTCCAATTATCAAACACATTTAATTAATTTCGAATTTCTCATAAATAATTATTTCAAATTTTTTAATTAATCATAAAATTAATTACAACCAACTTTATATAAAAATGACAATTATAATTACTATATATATGAGATTAAATTGTAAATATTTATACAATTTAAAACATTTTGTGAAAAATAACAAATAATATTTTTCAAATATTTATTATTATGTAACAATATAAGAAAATAACAATTATAATTGATATAAATATATATAATTAAATTATACATTTACATAATATAAAACACATTGCAAAAGAATTATTACAAAAAAAATATTCTTATTATTATGCAATAATATAACCAAACACATATGTTTGTAGAAAAATAAACTAAAACCTAATTTTTATGACTAATTATATATTATTTGTTATATGTTTAATGCAATCTAATATTAAATTAAATTTTGATTAGATTAATTTCAAATTTAAAAGCAACTTGATCAAATTTTAAAAAAAAACCATGGTTAATTAACAGTAAAAGATAATAACCATATAATTTCATTTAAACTATATTTAGTTCTATAAAATATCTAATGAATCGATTTTGTAATATTTTATTAATATTCGATTACTAAAATTATGGAGCAAGCTTTTCAAAGAAAATCAAAATATTTTTGAATTAAGTAACAGTAACTACATAAATTTAAAGCATATTCTAACAAATATTTATTCTAGCATATTTTCAAAAATATTACAAAAAATATTGATAAATTTTTATTGTAGATGTAAAAACATATTAATAATAAGTTAGTAAATTAATAAAAGATTTTCATAATTTACAATTAACAAAATAAAACTATTCATTATAATATTATTTTAATAAACTATAAGGGAAATAAAAACAGTAACTCACATTATCTCATTTTTTCTAATTTATTTTGGCTAATTGTTTTTTCTATATAAATTTTCAAAAAAAAAAATATTTTTGCAAACATCAATATTTTTTAGTCGAAATTAATGTTTTATATGTTAAATATTTTGTTTCAGTTTGTTTACTATGTATATGGTTGTTATTTTTAATTTTTAATTTTTAATTTATCATTTTTTGTTTGACAAAGAAGAAGAAGAACAAATAAGAAGGAGGAGAATAAAGAGAAGTGATGAATGAGAAGAAGAGTAGATGTAAAAGAAGAAGAAAAGAGAAAAAAAAAAAAAAGAGAAGAACATGAGAAGAAGGAGAATAAGTGATAAAGAAGAAGAAGGAAAAGAAAGGATAATAAGAAGAGATGAAAAAAAAAGAAAAATGAATAAGAAGAAGGAGAAGTGATGACGAATAAGATCAATAGAGAAGATGAAAAAACGGAAAAGGAGAACGGAGAAGAAAGAGAATGGATGAAGAAGAAGAAGACATGAAGGAGGAAGAGAAGAAGAAGACGGAGGATAATAAGGAGAAGAATAGATGATGAAGAATATGGATACATAGAAGAAGAAAAAGAAGGAGAGAGAGGAAGAACAACGAAGGAGAAGAATGAGAAGAAAAGATGAAAAAGAAGAAGAAGAAGGGATGGAGGAGAAGACGAAGGAGTAACCAAGAGTCGTTAGCTCGACTGGTAAAAGATCTAGGTAAAACTTAGAGATCACATGATCGAGTGACTCTTGGTATTAAACTAATATTACATGATGTGGTTTCAGGCCTGCAGAGATTGCAGGCTTCGGCCCAGAACTTCATGGTAATCTAAAAAAAGGAAGAAGGAGAAAAGCGGATAAAAAGAAAGAAAAAAAAAGAAAAATAAAGGATAAAAAGGAGAAGGAGAAGAACAAAAACAAATGAAGGGAGAGAAGAAGAAGTGATTAAGAAGAAGAAGCAGGAGGAGAAATAGAAAGAGAAGAAAGAATTGTTGGGGTCGGTCTCCACTATGACGAAATCAACAAAGAAAAGGTTAGTAATAGAAATGAGCCTAGCCAAATCGAAGAGGTGATAAGCCAGACTGACAAGCCGAGCTGACAAACCATCGAGCCAAATTGACGAACCGCCGAGCAGAAACAACGAGTTGGATCGATAAAGACGGATTAAACCATTCATGTCCATTGAACCAAATAGGTGGACCAAACCAACAAGATATACCAAACCGATGATTCGAGATAAATATTGGTTGACAAAATTACAACTAGATATTTAAACCTGTAAAAAATCGACTACAACATAAGAACAAAAGTTATATATAAAATCAGTAATATATTATATCTTTAAATATAAAAGTTGGGTTTGAAAAACAACAACAAGTGGAGACCGACCTCAACAATTTTTTCTTCTCTTTCTGTTGAAAAAGAAACAGATAATAGAAATGAAAAAAAAAGAATAGGAAGGGAGAATGAGAAGAAAAAAAACTAGATACAATATTAAAAAACATAAATTTCATGTAAAACCAATAATATATTATCATATTTTACAATAATAACTTGTGTATCTACTATATTGATTTAGTTGCACATAACTTATATTATCTTATTTTCAAATTTATATTTTTGTATTTACAAAGTTTAATTTTAATCCTCATAACACATAAATAAATAATTTAGTATTAATATAACTATAGTTTTTTTGGTAGGAAGGGGGTGGGGGAGACTTATCGTAACTGAAAATTGAAACTAAAGTAGGTGAAACCGAATCTAAGAATTGGACACCTAGAGGAAGGGAAAAAGCAGAGTTAGCTAATTCATCAACAAGACAATTAGTTTTTTTCTTAGCAAGAAAAAAAGACAATTAGCTTTTATATACACATATGAAAAACAGACTATTCATTCTCTCGAAATAAAATCATGATACATATGTACCAGAAAACAGATTATCTTATAACATAATATATAATAAATCTACTTATATTGTACTACATAATTTAAACATTTATAAAATTTACTTTAAAAATTATATACATGTGCGGACGCGCATATCCAACATCTAGTTTATGATTAGAACAGCATTCATCAAAATTAGATATGATTGCTGAGCTGCTGAGTATCCACATAAATTTATCTTAATTATTGGGACATTTCCATAATTTCAATTTTTAAAAGTTTCATTATTAATTTTGTTTCCTGTCTGTAGTAGATGTATCAAAAATGGGTGTTTGGTAGTTGCACAATCAATTGATTTTGGATACTTCAGACCCCTCAGCTAAAGTCAAATTAGTCTGCTAACCATTGCTTTTTTTGTTAATCATTTTGCTGGTAATCAGATCAACCACTTCGACAAATACAAATTATGTGATTTAATAATTAGTGTATTTATGCAATCTCAATTTCTAACCACATTACAAACCAAAAGTTTAAACTCACTAATAAACAAAATGATACAACATTATTAGATCATTTCAAAGGGGAAAAAATACCATTATCGAAAGTGGTTAAGTTTTCAAAGTCCCCACGTTTGATATTAATATTTCACTGCTTTTCAACTTCTAAATTTAGAGGAGTATTCAGGAGTCACGAAAATTCGAATTAGTGTATTGAACTTATGACATCTCTTATTGGAAAATAAATACTTCGTGACAAATGACAATATATGGTTATGGCTTTTGGTATCTTTAAATAGACGGTAGGACAACGTGATAAAAAGAGTCCAACCTGACAAATCTTCAGTTTTTTCCTATTTAACATTAAAAATGTTGGTGTGACACTGTGACATTGTTAACAATAATCACTGATTATCCCTAAGTTTTTTCATCTACGAATAAAAATTGCGATTCCAGCCTAATAATAATATTTTCCCACGAGTCACGACGCTGTGATGATTTCTCCTTTATAGTCTTTACTTCTTCCTTACTACAGGCACCGAGGAAAACCCTTTAATCATTTAGTCACCAAATCTCCGTTCTGTTTTTTTTTGTTTCCCTCTCTCTGTTTCAGTATTCGTCTTCTTCTTCAAGGTCACGGCCAAAACCATTTTTGAGGTTCTTCACGAGATTCTTTCTAGGTATGTCGCTGTTACCTTCAGCTTGAGCTCAGGTTTTTGTATCTATATTTAGCTCTTTAGTTTTTTTTTAAAAAAGGAATGTTCTTTGCTGGTTTCAATGGTTGTAGATTGGATCTGAAGAACAGTCAATTTTGTGGTTTTGGTTTAGGACTTGTGAACTTGCCGATTAATCTGTCGGTTTATCCATCTTCCTCAGTTTAACGTTTTTCTCTTGCCCATCTCTAGTGTTGTTGGGTTTAGTAAATTTCGAACCTTTTTCAGTTTTTCGCCTAAGGATTTGTGGTTTGCTTTGAAGTACCTCATTTTACACTCCCTACTCAAGTTGAATTTACATTTTTTTTTTTTGAGTTCTTGTTGATTTTGGTGGTGTATGAATAGTGAATACAAGAACCCAATCCAATTCCATTTTTTGGTTTGTGCACACAAGAGTTTTTCTGGAGTAGTTAACTATGTAAGAGGCAGTTGCAAGGTCCAATTTTAGTTACTGAATTTGTGTTGGCTAAATGAGATTTGCATCTGTTTGTGCCATGGTCATATCGGTTAATTTTCTCTGTGTCATGCTTTCAAGCGTACTAGTTACAAGACGCAGCCAATTTTCTTAATTAGATCCTTTTCCATCAGCTGTTTTTAACCAGACAAGTTTGCTTCAATCTCAGGGTTAAAGCAGCATTTGCATAAATACAAGGTGTTTTGGTGACAAGTGACAAAAGGCTGAGATGGGCTCTGGGAATTTGTTCAAGGCAATAATCGGATCGAAGAGAGGGAAACAAAGGAGCAGCAAGAGCGAGAAGGTATGTTTCCACATTGGTGTGATCATCAATGCATTGCTGCAGGAGACAAATTTAGGCAGCTGAATTCTGTTTTGTAATAGTCTTTCACTTGGCCCTTCTTTGTGACAGGGACTTTCCACTCCTGTAAAATCAAAAGCTTCCAAGAAAAACACTACTCTGGTTATTCGTAGCGAGGATTGGGCTGCAACTCGAATTCAGTCTGCGTTTAAAGCCTATAAGGTGCATTGAGTGGCGATTCTTAAACCCTATATATGCAATGATTTTACATTGACTTTGGAAATTTTGGAGATCTCGTATTGTGTTATCTTTCTAATAATAATCAGCTGTTTACTTAGTTTTGTTATCTTTCTCACAGGCTAGAAAAATCTTGCGGCGTCTAAAAGGAACTGCAAGAGCAAAGTTGTTATCCGAGAAACCTTCCGTGGAGAAGCAAGCGGTGATTACATTGAGGTATCTTCACTCATGGAGTAAAATACAGTCGCAGATAAAGGCTCGCCGAGTTTGCATGGTCACAGAAAGCCGGCTGATGCATAAAAGATTAGAGAATCAGCAAAAGCTTGAGGCTAAGCTTCACGATGTTGAGGTCAGATTTTACGAAATGTGAAGAATGTTTGTGTTTTCAAAAATCTGGTGTAAATGCAAACGGAGAATTTGGTGTTTTGAAACAATCTCACCACTGAGCTATTTTTCGTTCCTTGAGACCACATCTTGCTTCAATTGTTTTTTCCCCCTCAAACTCTCTTGAGCTTTGATCATCCGTAGAAGAAAATAACATCAAAGTGATACAATCGCAGGTTGAATGGAATGGTGGATCAGAGACAAAAGATGAGATCTTGGGGAGGATACATCGAAGGGAAGAAGCGACGATCAAGCGAGAAAGAGCTTTGGCTTATGCTTTCTCTCATCAGGTATCTCCTTCTTCTCTGCTTTCAATGTGAAATAAAGGGAAGCAAGAAAAGCTTTTTGATATCCGTGTGATTTGAACAGTGGAAAGCTGATGGTAAGACTCAATGGCTGGGGAGTTATGAGCTGGGGAATACTAATTGGGGATGGAGCTGGAAAGAGCGTTGGATAGCTGCTCGGCCTTGGGAAGTAAGATACTCTTTGACTCCTAAAAAACCAAAGAGCTCAAAGACAGTTTGTAGCAAGAGTGAGACTAAATCAAACTCACCGGCAAAGAGAGTAGCGTCATTATCATCAGTTTCATGCAAAGCTCCGTCTCCTGGAGCTAGAAACGCAGTGAAACCAAGGAGATTGTCATTTCCCGGCGCGTGATGAAGTGAAGTTAAATTTGGTGTGCGTATAAGATACACACGTACATTATCCTTACAAAGAGGAATGAGACTTGTTAAGATTAAAAAGGGTGTATTTATTTTGGTCTCTGTTTTGTCTCTGCTGTGATGTAAATATATTTGTTATGTAGGCGACGATGGGTGTGAATGTGATTCTAAGTTTGTTTTGAAATACATGCAATTGTTTGTCTCTGTCTCCATAGCAATCCCAAGGATTAGGCAATTCCAACGCTTTACAATTACAATTGAAGTTGTAAGTTGTAACTATTGTCTCTGTTTCCATAGTAATAATCCCAAGCAGTGGATCTTCAAAATTTGTATGTATAGGAAAAAAATTCAGCCTTTACCCTGTGGTTCGGACCGGCCCAAACCTTAAAAAAATGGATCAGACCCGTGTTGTGTTAGTGTAGGGCAAAATGCTTTTTGCTTTAATGTCGTTGGCAAAGAATCGATATTGCTCTGCCTTTCCACATATTCCGGACAACTGTAATTCTCTGCAAATTCATGGAATCGGCCGCTAAAAGTTTCTCAATTGGATCCTCTAGACTTTTAGCCTTGGCGCAGCAGCTGCGTGTATACAAGCCGCCGCTTTCTTCACCGTTGGACGAGGCGGAAGAGAGCACCAGGAAACTCATATCTCGCGTTGGGTTTCAGGAGTCTGTGTCTCCGGTGAAGAAAGCCTCTGTCTTGATCTGTCTCTTCGAAGGAGATGACGGTGATTTGCGTGTGATTCTCACTAAGAGGTCTTCCACACTGTCTACTCACTCGGGTTTGTACTTTTTGCCTTTTTTGAATTTGGTTTTGCTGAGTCTCATAGAAATATTGACGACTTACATCTTTGGATGTAACGATGTGAGCGGAACGTTTAAAGGTCTCGTCTTTAAAGTCATACTATGGATGATGGGATGATGATAGTGATACTAAGGATGATGGTTGGTTTGTTGTTGCAGGAGAAGTTTCTTTACCAGGTGGTAAAGCAGAAGAGCATGATAAGGATGCTGGGGTTACTGCAACCAGAGAGGCAGAGGAAGAGATTGGATTAGACCATTCGCTTGTTGATGTTGTTGCTTTCCTGGAACCATTTATGTCTCAGGTATCTAAATGTAACAATGGTCCTCTTTTGTGTCGTTGGTCTGGAATGCAGGTTCGTATCATTATCTGATAGCTGTGTAAAGGACACAGAGTTTGATCGTTAGGCGTGTTTGCATTTTGAAGTGTCAGGCCATATTCTTAGTTAACAGTAGTTCTCTTTAGGCCGTAGTGATTTCCATAACTGATTTTGTAAACCTTGGTTCGTAGTTCTTTTACATTTTTCGCGTGTCCTAGTAGCGTAGGGAGTAATGGTAACTGCAGTAGCTCTCTATCTTTTTTAAGATCCTGAATAATTTTCAGTGGTAGCTGAAGCCTTTAAATTCTGCTTTTAGTTGTTAGTTTAGGCTCTATTTGTGTCTGCCCTATACCAAACTTTCTTGTGCTTTATGAAATGATTGATGCATAGTTCTCCAACTCCGAGCAATTTGTGGCTTATCTGTGCTTCATCTTCCAATGCAGCATCGGCTTAGAGTAATTCCTGTAGTAGGAATATTGTGGGACAAAAAGGCATTCAATCCAACGCCAAGTCCTGCAGAAGTTGAAGCCGTGTTTGATGCACCACTTGAAATGTTTCTGAAGGTTTTTCTCGGTTATATTTATCAAGGATGCTTTATATAGTTGCAATGCAAGTATTTTATCAACCCCAAAGCATCGGTGGTTAAAAAAATATCTTACGCAGGATGAGAACCGGAGATCCGAGGACATTGAGTGGATGGGGGGAAAGCATTTGATTCACTTCTTTGATTACAAAACAGGAGATAAGGATTATGTTATATGGGGTTTAACTGCCAGAATCTTGATAAGAGCTGCATCTGTGGTGTATCAACGACCACCTGCTTTTATTGAAGGGATACCTAACTTTAAGTACTCCAGAATGGTAGACAAACATATTTTTCCTCATATGTGATATCGTAGACGTTCCCTTCTAGTATAAGTTCAACAAAAAAGAACAATTAGCTAATACCATGTAACTGATTCTCCTTGCCAGTGAATGCAGAACCAGGCTACGAGTTTGTATGCATAGCTGAAGTTGCTGTTATTGCTTCTGCCTTGCTGGGACATCTTGTGGCACATTCCCATGAATCTTGTGATAACGGAAGATGGTGGAGGTGTCTCTATTGGGTCATGTCCCAGGTCAGTCTGTATAACTGATAATTGTAATGTTGCTTTTTTGTGTTCTCTTTGATGCCAAGTCACGTCTTCAATATGTTCCATTGTGAGCAATAAAGAATTTCCATGTTCATTTGCTCAAAAGCTTACTTCCTTCTTCTGTTCATTTTATAACGTACGAACTTGTCCTACATGTTGTATCCTTATCAAGTACAAAATCTGTTTTTCCTCCCTTTTGAGTGTTATCTTGCTTCTCTGTAAATCTGGTTTATACCATTGTTGGTGTTTTCTC